AACTGGCATAAAAGAGGTCTACCATATGCTGAATTTTTAAAGCCATTTTAAAAACACACAATTTTCTGTAAAGATATAAATATCAATATACACACACATTTAGAGAAATGCGCAATAAGATGTTCAGAAAAGTTAACTATAGTTAACTCTGTGTGGTGGGATTTCGGGTAATTTTTTACTATTTCCTTTATACTTTTTTTTTCCCCATGAATTGTTTTATAACCAGAAAAAGCAAAAACTTTTATTCTAAAAATAATACCACGTTGATTTTTAAATCTCAAGTCTTTGTAAGGATTCGTGTGGAATGCATTACTCTCGTTTACTACTAACACCACCACTTACAGAGCCACATAGGTGCTCCTAATGAGTGGTAATTCTTAACAAAATGTGTCAAAGTAGACTGCACAGAACTTCCCTGCTGTTTTCCTGTTGTTTCTTCAAGCCGGCAAGTTTCTGAAATAATTTACCCATAGTTTCACTGAAGGGAGTTTCTCACATACGCAGAAGATGTTTCCATCCATGGTGGCAGGAAAAACAGCAATGAGGCAAGTCATCACCAAGTTGTTATATTTCCAAGGTGGACCACCACCACCACCACCATCAGACCACCAAGTGGAGGGGAACTACCACTGCTGTGGCATCTCTGGTCAACAGATTTGAGTCCTGGGATACACTGAGACCAAGATGCTACTACGTGTCTTTATGTTGACAGGACTTCAACATCAAGGGCTCCCATAGCCACTCTCCTTCATGTGCTCATCCGTACTCCCACACCTTAGCAAAGATCTGGTTGGAGCCTTCTCCACTTCCCAGATACCAACTACTGAATTTTCTTCTGTCCCCTTATCCCTCTACCAAGAAGGAGAGAAGAGTTAAAATGAGAAAATAAAAAGTGCAAAAGCCCTAAGGGAGGACCTAGCTGGGTATACTGGAAGAACAGAAAGAAAGGCAGTATAGCCTGAATATGGTCATCAAAGGAAAACACTAAAAGAAACAGACAAGGACCGTATCATAGGGATCCTAACAGGTCGTAATAAATCTGTGGATGTTGTTATTTTCATAAATGTTGCTGCTCCCATGGTGAATCAATTTTATGCAAATGAAATTGTTTCATTTTCAATGTATGAAAATCTATTTCTTGATCTATGTTTTGAACCTCATTTACTCTTCCAAAACTCAGAGCAACAGATCCAACTGCCTGCCTACTAGGCAGCCTCTCCTAAATATCAATACAACCAAAGCCAAACACTTTTTTCCCAAACCAGCTCCTCCGACAGCTTCGTATCTGCTAATGGACGGATCATTCACCCAGGCTTTCTCTCAACATTCATTATCTTTCATTCCTTGCCTGCTGTCCACCTCCATTACACACAGGCTCCTCAGTTCTTAAGCCTCCAACCTACTTATGCATTTCTAGTGCCACAGAAACTATCCTGATTCACATTAGCACCATTCTTGTTCAGATTACTAGAATAAGCTAGTTTCCATATCCCCAGTTCTTTCGCCCTTAAGTTTATCCTATATGATGTTAGATACTTTCAAGACCATCAATAAGCAGATGATATAAAATTGTATTACCTCAAGCTCTGATTTCAAGTTCCACTCATATATCTGCCTACTTAACATATTTATACTTAGCCTCATTCGCATCTCAAATTTAACATGTCTAAAATTGAACTCCTGATTTCTGATCTTCCCTCCAAATTCCACACCTACTCCTCCCATTCCTATCTCCCACCCTCATCTCAGTAAGTGACACGTCTACCCATCCAGTTGCTTCAGCCAGAAACCTGGGAGTCATTCTTGACACTTTCCTCTTCCTCAACCCCCACATTCAATCTATAATTAAATGAATTCTTTCTTTAACATACTTCTCAAATCCATCCACTTCTCTCCATCTCTTCTGCCTCTAAGTCCCACCTGCAAAGATTCGTATTTAAGTGGTATGGGTGCAGCCCGGGCATCAAGAGTATAAAAAGTACCCCAGGTGATTCTAACAAACAGCCAAGAGTGAGAACCACTGCTCTACAGCATTTGGACTTCCACCAACCTCTCTGACTTCACGTCGACTACTTTCTCTCTTGTTCACTTAACTCCAGCCATGCTGGCCTCCTTACTGGTTCGCTGAATATGCCAGGCACATACATACCGCACGGTTTTTGCTATTTCTTTTGTCTAGAGTGTTAGTTCACTCCTTCATCTTCTACAGATATGTACTAGAGCATTACCTCTGATGTGAGTTACTGAGGCCTCCCCTGGCATTCTATCTAAAATCACAACACCTACTCCCACCCCAACACTCCCTATCTATCCCTTTTTTGGGCTGCATTTTTCTCCTTGAAACATATCACTTTCCAATATACCATACATTTTATTTATTTTGTTTGCTGCCTGAATATAAACTCCATGAGAGCAGGGACTTTTGTCTGTTTTGTTCTTTAACTATAACCCCAGCATCTAGAGTAGTATCTGGCACATAGTAGGTACCAAATTAATATTTCATGCCTAAGCAAGGCCTTCACTGACTCCTCAGACTAAACTTAATCTCCTCATTATTTTCCTTAATAGTTTATTCCTTTCCTTCATTACATTTACAATAATCTATAACTACATTTGCTTGTTGAAGTTCCTTTTCTAGACTGCAAATTCTGTGAGAGTGGGGATTTTCTATTAGGTCCACCATTATATAAACTTTTCCTCACTTATATGGCAGGGGAACTACGAAAAAAACAGTCAATAAATCAGTAAATAAATGAGTGAGGTCAAATAAAATTTGTGAAAGCACACCCTAACCATGTTATTTCTTCAATCACAAATTTTCAGTCTCTAATGCTTTACCACATTAAACCCAAGCTGCCTGGCCACTTTGAAAAACTTCCATGCTCTGAGCCCATTTATTTTCCACTCTTATCATCCATTATCCCATCTTCTGCTTCAGCCATGCTGTGCTCTTATTTCCAGTACACACCCTAAACTAATACTGCACCTTCCCCACCTCCACATTTTCACTCATGACATTCCTTCTCCCTGAATTCCCTTCCCCATCTCTGCCAATGAAAATTCCAACTTCAAAATACCTACCCTTCAAAGCCCAGCTCAAATGTAACCTTCACAAAGACAGTCCTGACTCTCACCCCAGCTTCCCCAAAGATCTCTTCCTCTTCTAAGCACTAAACATATAATACTGGTTTAATCTCCCACTCATTTCAGACCATACCCCTCCCTGACTTTCTACTATGTCTTTCACTTACAGTCACTCAGCAGGTATTTGTTAAAAAGAAAAGTCAGTTAACACTATTCCCTTCCTTTTTTTTTTTTTCTTTTCATCATTACTTTTTTTTAAAACTTATTTTTATTTTTTATTTTTTTTATTTGGTAGGAATCCTCATCTAGATTTTTTTTTTTTTTTTTTTTTTTAAAGATGGGGTTTTACCATATTGGTCAGGCTGGTCTCGAACCCTTGACCTCAGGTGATCCGCCCACCTCAGCCTCCCAAAGTGCTGGGATTACAGGCGTGAGCCACTGCACCCAGCCAACACTATTCCCCCTTCTCTATCATAAAACATATTTAAATTTTTGAGAGGATAGAGGCCTCTCCCTCTTTAGAGAGACCCTTGAATGACCAAAAGATACAAAGCTAGAATGGAGGATTCTCTGTCTAAACTTTCTCTTCAATGCCTTTTCTAGAAAGGCAGGACCTGCCCAAATGCAATTTATAGAGCTCAGATGTTTCCCCCCTCAGATTCTGACAGATTTTCAAAATACATGTAAGTGTTTGAAAAAAAATGTTAAGCTGTATGTACTACTACATGAGACAAATTCCATAAGCTTCATTAAAATGGTCTGCCCTAAGATTATCACATACTTGAAAGACTATCTGGCTGAAAATCTGAACACCATAAACTCTGCTGTTTGGAAATGGTAATTCCAGGCCTGGCTTGGTGGATCACGCCTGTAATCCCAACACTTTGGGAGGCCGAGGCAAGCAGATCACCTGAGATCAGGAGTTCAAGACCAGCCTGGCCAACATGATAAAACCCTGTCTCTACTAAAAATAAAAAAATATATAGCTGGCTGTGGTGGCAGGTGCCTATAATCCCAGCTACTCAGGAGGCTGAGGCAGGAGAATTGCTTGAACCTGGGAAGCAGAAGTTGCAGTGAGCCGAGATTGTGCCACTACACTCCAGCCTCGCGACAGAGTGAGACTCCGTCTCAAAAAAATAAATAAACAAACAAACAAATAAAAATATCCCATTCGTGTTGGTATTATGCTCAGTGATGTTAAGTAACTGCACTAACAGTCCAATAAAATTCCATCAGGAAAAACCTGCACTTCAAGTACTGACCTTTGTTTCCCCACCCACATCCTCTCTTAATGTTGTGGTTCTCAAACTGTGGTCCCAGTGGATTCCTGGAGGTCCCTTATAAGTGGTCTGTGAAGTCAACACTATTTTCATAACATTTGCCTTTTTCATTGTGTTGATACTTGTGCTGATAGTACAAAAGCAATAATGGTTTTAAAACTGCTGGTGCCTTAGCGCAAGGGTACCCACCCCCAGGGCTGCGGACCTTACGGACCCATGGCCTGTTAGGAACCAGATGCACAGCAGGAGGTGAGTAGTGGGCGGGCAAATAAGCATTACTGCCTGAACTCTGCCTCCTGTCAGATCAGCAATGGCATTAGATACTCAAAGCAGCCTCAACCCTACTGTGAAACAAATGGGAGGGATCTAGGTTGTGTGCTCCTTATGAGAATCTAATACCTGATGATCTGAGGTGGAACAGTTTCATCCCAAAACCATTCCCCACTACCAGGTTGTACAAAAACTGTCCTCCACAAAACCAGTCCCTGGGGCCAGAAAGGTTGGGGACCACTGCTAGCATGAGTAAATGACATCAAACTGTACTACACTCATTGTCATTGTCTTTTGCCATCACGCATAGGTGATTAAAAAAAAACAATTGCTTGCATTTAAGAATGTTCTTGATGCAGGAATAAAAATTATTAATTAAATCTAAACGCCTGAGTGTAGGTCTTTTAAATAGTCTGTAAATAAAATGGGGAAGTATGAATAAAGCACTTCTGAAAGGTACTCAAGTACCATGGGCGGTCTCCAGGAAAAGCACCTGTGACTCTGAGCTATGAGTTGAACTAGCTGTTTTTTTCATGGAACCCTACATTTACTTGAAACAAAGAACAAACTGGTTATTTCAACACGAATATTTAGCAGACATTTTCTTGAAAATGGAGTCTGTCACTGGGGAAAACAAGTGACAGTATTTGTTGCCAATGATAAAATCCAGGCTTCTAGCGAAAAACTAGAATTTTGGAAAACTTGTAGCTACTTGACAGCTTCCCAATACTTACAAAGACTTTGCTGATGAAATGGGTGGCAATAATAATGTGGGTTTTCTGATATTGTATTATAAAATGTTTAAACATTCAGAAGATCTGCTTAACTCAATTCACTAGTATTTCCCAAATGACCACAGCACAATACTCTAAAAATCACATGTAGGTAAAAGATCCATTCAAGTGCAAGTCAGACCAATGGATTTTAACATAACAGTAACATCAATATAATTTCAGATTCCATACTGCAACTTAATTTATAAGAAACTAATACTTGTCAAGTTTTGGTGTAGTATCAGAGAAGAATATGCACAATTGTCTGAAAAGGCTATAAAATACTTCTCCCTTTTCCAACTACATATTCTTTCAGGCCATATTTTCTTCAGGTACTTCAATCAAAACAAATTATGACATCAAACTGAATAGAAGCAGGTAAGAAAACCTGGAGGCCAGGCACGGTGGCTCACGCCTGTAATCCCAGCGCTCTGGGAGGCCAAGGTGGGTGGATCACGAGGTCTCAAAAAATAATTTTTTTTTTTAAGAGTATACACTCCTGAGACAACAGTGAGAATCACTGTTCTAAGAAAAATATGCCTCTAATTCCAGCCACTCCCAAAACTGCTCTGTTTGTACCAAAATCTCCCCTTCCTCTTTCCTCACCCCCAACTGGAGTTGAACCTGGAGCAGATATCTGGCCCAGGGGAAAATTAAACTTTTAACTGACCAAATCAGACATCCCCCCAGGAATCTGAATTAGTCCTCATGGAGACTAAAACCTATTTACAGCAGAACTCTAGAGACCATAAACTCTTTCGGAAAACCCTGGCACTGTTTCGGCTCCAGTCTTTTCTGATGTTTGGTTGTTCAAACACTTTTCCTTAGATTCTGCAACAGCTATCTCCTCTTTCCTTTACATAAATCTACCCCCGCCCCCGCTTTTGTTTTCAACCTTGCATGTGGCATCAGAAGCTCTTTTGTATCAACTGGTTTCAATAGATTTTCTTTCCCTATGATCACTGAAGCCTTAACACCATAAAACTTCAATGCCTTTACCCAAACCGTTTTATAAAATCACTCCAACAAATCTAAAAGTTGAATGGAAATTGTAGGCTCATTCAAAACAAGTGATCAGTTATTAGGTAAGGAAGATGTAATTTTTCTTTTATTTCGGAAAAGCTCGTTACATATCATGTGAATATATTTTAGACAACAAATAGCGTCATTAAAGTATGCCAATTTGGCTGGGTGAGGTGGCTCATGCCTGTAATCTGAGCACTTTGGGAAGCCAAGGAGAGTGGATCACCTGAGGTCAGGAGTTCATGACCAGCCCGGGCAACATGGCAAAACCCCATCTCTACTAAAAATACAAAAATTAGCCAGGCATGGTGGTGTGTACCTGTAGTCCCAGCTACTTGGAGGCTGGGGAAGGAGAATTGCTTGAACCCGGGAGGCGGGGTTTGCAGTGAGCAGAGATCATGCCACTCCACTCCAGCCTGGGTGACAGGGCAAGCCTCTGTCTAAAAACAAAAAACACACAGAAAAACAATTTGACAGAAAGCCTGACAGATAGAAAAAGAACAAGGGAGTGAGACTTGCCCCGTCAAATATAAACAATTATTATAAAGCTATGAGAATTAAGGCAGTGTAGTACCAGTACAAGATAAGCAACCAGACCAATGGTACAGGATAGGGAAAATACAGATACAAATTCACATATATGGAAACACGTAAGTGATATACAGTTGTAGGGAACAGATGGACTATTCAATAAATGATGCTGGGTCACTAGATTATCCTTATGGAAAGAAAATTAGATCCACACTTCAGGGTTATCCTTATGAAAACAAAAAATGTGATCTCTAATTCACACCAAACATCAAAATAAATTCTAGGTGGATTAGAGGCCTAACGGCAAAAAGCAAAATTTTACAACTTTTAGAAGAAAATATAGGATGTAACCATTACCTCAGTATAGTGTCATGAAGACACACACACACACACACACACACACACACAAAACATATAGGAACAATATAATAAATCTGACTGCATGAAAATCTAAAACTCAAGGCTGGGCGCAGTGGCTCACACCTGTAATCACAGTACTTTGAAAGGCCCAGACAGGCAGGTCACTTGCGGTCAGGAGTTCGAGACCGGCCTGGCCAACAATGTAAAACCCCATCTCTACAAAAAATACAAAAATTAGCCAGGTGTAGTGGTGGGTACCTGTAATCCAGCTACTCATGAGGCTGAGGTAGGAGAATCACTTGAACCTGGCAGGCAGCGGGGGCAGTGAGTCAAGATCGTGCCACTGCATTCTAGCCTGGGCAACACAGTAAGACTCTGTCTCAAAAAAAAAAAAAAAAGAAAAAGAAAAGAAAAAAATATAAATATATCTATAAAAACTCAGCTTGATAAAAGATAAAATTAAGTTTAAAAACAAAACATGCCTATCAGGATGGCTACTACAAAAAAAAAAAATTAACAGTAAGTGTTGCCTTAAAGAGGTATCTAAAGCCTTAACAACAACAAAAAAAGAGGCTTACACCTATAATCCCAGCACTTTGGGAGGCCAAGGAGGGCGGATCACTTGAAGTCAGGGGTACAGGACCAGCCTGGCCAACATGGTGAAACCCTGTATCTTACCAAAATACAAAAAATTAGCTGTACGTGGTGGCATGCACCTGTAATCCCAGCTACTTGGGAGGCTGAGGCAGGAGAATCGCTTGAACCTGGTAGGCGGAGGATGCAGTGAGCCAAGACGGCACCACTGCACTCCAGCCTGGGTGATAGAGCGAGGCTTCCATCTCAAAAAAAAAAAAAAAAAAAGCCGGGCGCGGTGGCTCAAGCCTGTAATCCCAGCACTTTGGGAGGCCGAGGTGGGTGGATCACGAGGTCAAGAGATCGAGACCATCCTGGTCAACACGGTGAAACCCCGTCTCTACTAAAGCTACAAAAAATTAGCTGGGCATGGTGGCGCATGCCTGTAATCCCAGCTACTCAGGAGGCTGAGGCAGGAGAATTGCCTGAACCCGGGAGGCGGAGGTTGCGGTGAGCCGAGATCGCGCCATTGCACTCCAGCCTGGGTAACAAGAGCGAAACTCCGTCTCAAAAAAAAAAAAAAAAAAAAAAAAGAAAAGAAAAAGTGTTAGTGAGGCTGTAGAGAGCTTGGCACTTTTGTAAACTGCTGCTGGCAATATAAAATAGTTCAGCCACTGTGGAAAACAGTATAGAGGTTCCTCAAAAAATTAGAAAGGAATTACCACATGATCCACAATTCCACTTCCGGGTATATATACCCAAGAGAACTGATAGCAGAGTCTCGAAAGGATGACTGTACACTCATGTTCATAGCAGCATTACTCACGAAAGCCAAAAGATAAAAACAATCCAAGTGTCTATCAACAGCTTAAGGGATAAACAAAATGTGGAATGGAATATTATTCAACCTTAAAAAGAAAGGAAATCGGCCGGGTGCGGTGGCTCATGCCTATAATCCCAGCACTTTGGGAGGCTGAGGCTGGTGGATCACGAGGTTGAGAGATCGAGACCATCCTGGTCAACATAGTGAAACCCCGTATCTACTAAAAATACAAAAATTAGCTGGGCATGGTGGCACAGCTTGTAGTCCCAGCTACTCTGGAGGCTGAGACAGGAGAATTGCTTGAACCCAGGAGTCAGAGGTTGCGGTGAGCCGAGATCGTGCCATTGCACTCCAGCCTGGGTAACAAGAGCGAAACTCCATCTAAAAAAAAAAAAAAAAGGAATTCTGGTACATGCCACAACATGGATGAACCTTGAGGACACTGGGCTAGGTGAAGCTAGCCAGTCACCAAAGAGAGAAATTCTGTATGATTCACTTACACCAGGCACCTAGAGTAGTCAAACTCCTAGAGACAGAAAGGAGAAGGGTGCTTCCCAGAGCCTGGGGGAGGGAGGAAACAAGAAGTTGTTTAGTGAGTATAGAGTTTCCGTATTGCAAGATGAAAAAGTTCTAGAGATCTGTTGCACAACAATGTGAATATTGTGCAAATGTTAAACACTACTGAACTGTACACTTAAAAATGGTTAAGGTGTTAAATTTAAGTGTTTTTACAATAAAAATAAACAATAAAAGATTATTATATGTAATAAAAAAACAGAAATACCTTATGTCTATGAATAGGAAATGGATAAATTGTGGTACAGCATATTCATACAACCAAATACTAAACAGCAGTTAAAATGAATTCAAGTTACATGTATAAACATAAATAAATCTCAAAAAACCATATTAAGCAAAAATATTAAGGTAAAGAATGGTATATATTGCAGTATATAGTACATATTGGATTATAACACAGTTAGAACATGATAAATACCAATTCATTACAGATGTTACCGCTAAGGAGGGAGAGAAGAGAATAGGAGTACCCTAAGGCCTTGCTATTTCAGTAATGTTTTATTTACTAGAAAAAATATCTGGTAGCAAATATAACAAAACGTCCAGATTTTATAAGGCTGGGTGATGGTTATATGCATGGTGGTATTCCTTATATTTTTATATAACAGAGAGAGATATATAGCTCTATATATATATATATATATATATATTTTTTTTTTTTTAAGACGAGTCTTGCTCTGTTGCCCAGGCTGGAGTGCAGTGGTATGATCTCAGCTCACTGCAACCTCCCCCTCCTGGGTTCAAGTGATTCTCCTGCCTCAGCTTCCCCAGTAGCTGGGACTACAGGCGCCCACCACCATGCCCAGCTAATTTTTCATTTTTAGTAGAGACGGGGTTTCAACATGTTGGCCAGGCTGGTCTTGAATTCCTGACCCCAGGTAATCCACCTGTCTCAGCCTCCCAAAGTGCTGGGATTACAGGCATGAGCCACTGCACCCACCCAAGATATTTTATAATTAAAAAATTAAGACAGCATAAAAGATGTTCACTGAAAAACTGTGGTTTTTATTTACAGCAAATTTCTACATCGTTATCTGTTTCCAAATATCAAGTGAAGGAATATATAAATCTCAGTTTGAGGAGATGATCACACATACATTTTTCCTCTTACCAATATATAGATATATAGATAGGAGAGATTAGAGGCTCTCAAAGAACTACTGCCATGGCAGGAAGATTTACACTAACAACTTTTAAGAAAATAAAAAGTCAGGAATAAACGTCTTCATGGTCAAGCAGGTCTTGTGTCTGAATGGTTAATTCCCTAAGGTCTCATCCAGCTCTCCCAAAGCTGCATGACCAGCTCTGTCATATAGAGTACCTAGGCAACTCCTTGCCAGTTCTATTAAAACATGATCATAGTTGTAAGAATGACAGCCTGTCTGGGCGTGGTGGCTCACACCTGTAATCCCAGTACTTTGGAAGGCCAAGGTGGGTGGGTCACCAGGTCAGGAGTTCGAGACTAGTCTGACCAACACAGTGAAACGCTGTCTCTACTAAAAATACAAAAAATTAGTC